ACCCGGTACCCAGTACCCGGTTCAAGCTGCTCGCTAATGAGTGTGTTTCCTGTGTTCTTGCAGAGCGCCGCCTGACCGGGATGTGGTGCGCGGGCGGGGCGCGCCTGCTGCTGCTCGTGGCGCTGCTGCCCGCCAGGCTGCCCGCGGCCGCCGTCCTGCCCAGCAGCGGCGCGACCAGTGTGCCCGTGGCCGACGCCGGCCTCAACGAGATCCTGACGGACCAGGGCGACAAGCCTCCGCCGGGCGAGCAGTGGGTGAGGTGCTCGACGCAGGAGCTCGGCGAGGACGCGTCCTGCCGCGGGGACAAGCGCCCCGGCTTCCGCCTCGTGCCCGTCGTCGCCGAGCCCTCGGCGAGGGCGCCCACCGTCACCAAGGAGCCGGCCGCCGTCTCCACGCGGGTGACTGCCGTGCACGCCACAGCCACCATCACGAAGAAGGACCTGCTGGCGTCGGTGCACGCCGGCCACACGCCCACCATCACCACGGCCTCGACGACGAGCTCCGCGGCCACGACGCTGTCGTCCACGCCCCAGACGGTGGCCTCTGTCGACCTCACCTCGTTGACGGACACCTCGCTTGTCGGGTCGTCGGCGTCGATGCCAGCACCCGTGACTTTGGCGTCTACGGGAACGCCGAATGTCGTTGTGGCCGCAACCACTGCGCCTCCAGCTGAGTCGACCACCAGCAACGGCCTCGCCAAGGGTCCTTCAACGGGCGCCGTCTCAACCACCGACGGCGTTACCAAGGTTCCCTCAACGGCTGCAGCCTCAACCACCGCCGGCATCACCAAGGTTGCATCGACGGATGCGGCGTCGACTACCGCTGGTGTAACAAAGGTTCCGTCTGCCGTCAACGGCTTAACTGATGTGCCGTCTGTCGCCGCTGCCTCAACCACCATCGGTGTCTCTAAAGCACCCACCACCGCCGTGTCCCCAACCACTATCGGCGTCACGACATCACCCCCTAGCGCCGTGTCCTCGACTACTAACGGCGCCTCGACGTCATCCTCCAGTGCCGTGTCCTCGACTACTAACGGCGCCTCGACGTCAGCCTCCGGTGCCGTTGATTTAACCGTTGGCTCTGTGAGCATAGCAGCCTCTACGGCTACTCCAGCGAGCTCCTCGCCCCCTTCCAGCGCTATTTCTTTGTCGGGAGCCTCATCCAGCACGCCGATGACGAGCCTCCACACAGTCACTGAGGCAACCACGGCGGCTGCGGTTAGCAGTGGCCTGCCTGCTGCTACCAGCGCACCCGTGACCATCAGCACCTCGGAAGCCTCCTCAAAGATCACGGGGGTCACGACAGCTCCCTCGAGTACGGACGTTGTCAGCGAGTCGGCCAAAGAAACATCCACGGCGGCGAGCAAAGTGCCAACCGCTTCTTTCTCCACGTCAACGGCTACTAGTACCGTACCATCCACCTCAACGTCCACGACCACGGCCACCTCCACTACGCCCGTGACGGGAGCGCCTCCATCCCCCGCCTTGCTCGACGGGGTGGTCGAAGAGGTCTCGGGGCCGCCCTCGTCGGTCGTGCGGACGGAGCTGGGCTCGACAACCATCATGACGACCGAGGACGCGGCCGTGGTCGGGCCCGACGACGACGCCGTCGACCCGCTGGAGGACGGCGCCGGCCTGCACGGCGACGTGCTCGAGGACGCCGACGAGGTCCTGATGGCGGACCAGCCGTACGTCGTGGAGGTGCCGCACTTCCCCAGCGACCTGGACGCCAAGCTGGGCAGCCTGGACTGCGTGGTGCCTCCGCTGCCGCCGCAGTCCATCCTCTGGAGGGCCAACCAGACCCACGAGCTGGAGCTGCCGCTAACGGTGAGTGTCTTGTGCTGGACTACAGCTCCCTCCCTCTCTCTCTCTCTCCTCTCTCTGCTGCCGCTAACGGTGAGTGTCTTGTGCTGGACTACAGCTCCCTCCCTTACGCTCCTGCTCCCCCTCGCCATCACGCACAGCTACCAGGCCGTGACCCCCACCTACTTGGCTCGCCGACCGGTCCGCGGGCCAGGGTCGGGGGGCGGGCGGGCGCCACCCCAAGTGTCGCCAAAGCCTTTTCTCTCCTCATCTCCTTATTCACACCAGCACCCCCCACCCCAACCACTCCTTGTCGCCCTCCCTCTCTCCCCCTCCTTTCGCACCCAAACTCTCTTTCCGCCCCTTTTTTTTTTGGTTCGCTCTGCTCACGGGCGTTATTTGCGACCGTTTGGTCTGAATCAACAAGGCTTGGGCGCCTCTCTCTTCGGCTTCGCTCGGGACGCGGGTCTGGCGGGATCCTGCAGGAGGAGCTTTATTCATGGTCTTCCCCGAATACACCTTTCATATTACCGCCCCTGTCCTTCCCCTCCATCTTTCATTTCATTTTTTGCGTGCCGGATGTGCCCTGCCGCCCGCCTCCTGAGACTTCCGCTTATTCCAGGTGGCCGCCACACAGCGCGTCGGGCCGCTGCGACGACCTCATTGGGTCCGTTTCTCTCCTCTTTTTTATTATGATTCGAAAGAAGTTGTAGGGAGAGAGAAAAGTGGGGGAGGGCGGGGAGAGCCGCAAGAGGGCGCGCGTGCCGCCGCCAAACCTGACCTCCTAGCACTAGGGTATGCGTACCGTGGTGCTCTCCGCAGTGCGGAGAGACAGAGAGAGAGACGAGAGTCTGACAGGAAAAGGAGAGAGGGGAGGAAGGGGGGCTGCACCCTTCTACCGCACACGCCTCTGCATCCCCCTTTCTCTCTCTCTCTCTCCCCCCCTTGCTTCCCTCGAGCAGCAGCGGCAGCCGCCCCCTCCTGGCCCGCCCCTGATTCGATTACACCCCGGATTATTATCTGGAGTGTGTCCCGAATGGCGATTGGCTGCCCAAACCTGGACTCGTGTCTCTCTCTCTCTCTCTCCCTCTCTCTCTCTCTCTCTCTCTCTCTCACCGGCCGCGCTCCCGGTTGGGGAGGTGTCCCACCCTAATGAAGCTGTCGCGATGGCGCCCGCGCTGCTCACCGGGAGGTGGCCGCCGAACTTCCTTATGGGCCCCGAGCAAAGCGCGCGGGGGGTTTTAACACTGCGGTGACACAGCGGCCGGCCCGCGGGGGGCACTACCCGAGGGAGAGACGCGGCTGCTACTTCTTTTTTAATACTTCTTAATAACGCCGAGCGAAAACCAATTTGGGAAGCGCGGAGCTTGCTGCTATCTTTACCGAGGCCGGGACCATCCACCCGGGGGGCAATAATTTTTCAAGCAGAAACAACCCCTACCCTCCGCCCTCTCCGTTTCCCCGGCCACTGCTACACTACACCCAGGGCAAGTCCCTCTTTCTCTCTCGCTCTTATCCGGGTGCACCTATACGTTGAAAAGTTTTACTTACGCCACAATCTGCCGCGGCCCGCCCCACTTACGCCCCCCTCCCCCTCCCCCTCCTCACTCGCCGACCTCCCTGCTGCTCGTCCTTTTCTTTCCTCTTACTCTGACCCGTTTCTTTATCGCCGCGAGCGTAAACAATCGAGGAAAAAAAAAACAGAGGAACAGAGAGAGAGAGGGGAGAGGAAGAGGAAAAACTGGTCCTGGTGCGGCGGGGGCAAGAGGGTCGAGCAGGGTGGGCCAATTATTTGGACTCTCCTGCTGCCCTCTCCCTTTTCGTGCTCCTCCCATCCCCTAGCCCCTCCCCCTCCCCCTTATTGTAAATGACCATGAGCAGGCCGCCTGCTGCTCTCTTGGTTTGATCACCGGCTTCCCCTCTTACCATATACCTCCTACCCGCGCCTTTACAATTTTACCCCCCCCCCCCCTCTCTGTTTGGCGGGAGACGCTTAAAAAACATGCGGCGCCGGAGCGGCGCGCTGCTGCAGCTCCAAGGAGGGCCTAATGGCAGACGGCGACACTCCACTTTTCCCACCGAGCTCAGACGAGGTAATGCGGGCTTTAAAATCACGGCCGTGACGAGGGAAGTTGTTTTTTCTTCTGATGTTACTATACTTTAGTAATAAAGAAAGCGACGGAAACGGGTGCTTTTTGGGGCATGCCTTATTGTGTATGTTTGCGATTTAATAAAGGGGAACGCATTTTGTTTTCCAACAGGAATGCAAAAAAAAAAAAAAAAAAGGTTGAAAAGTTGCGAGGTTATCGTGTGGTTTGGTTAGTTCAGTGACCACAAATATAGGGTCACCTCTACGACGATGATTGCTGCCAAACCTCAACCGTTTTCAAGGTGATCTCTCCCTTAAAAGGGACCTGAAAAGAAAAGGGGTAGAAGCTAGGGAATGGGGGGGAGCAGGCATTTGCTTTGCAGCTGCTGCTGCTGCTCCGTTTTCCAATCGATAAATCATTTTAAAATGCGCGCCCGAGGCGCCATTGGTGGGAGAAGGAGGCGTACTGGACGGGTTTGGAGCGGGGGGGGGGGGGGATGATGGCTTAAAAATCCGCGCCGCGCGCGGGGACAATCGAGGGCGGC